ACACCCTGCACTCAATGTAATGATGCATAAAGAAGTGCTGGAGTCACCGCTGCTGTACCATGGATGACGGCACTGAAGAATACTGGTAGAGGACCCTGTGAGTCACATGACTGTTCAAAAGACAACCTTAAATCACTGTTGAAAGGGGCAACTGGAGTAAGGTGTCGGCATGGTTTTGTGATTTAAGGGTTAAGTTTGTGGTGAGGTTAAAGCCCAATTCTGGACACCAGCTCCCCTGTTGGAAACTACAAGTGGCTGTGGCACAGGCATGGTTCACGGTTGTCACGGTCCAGAGCAATGATGTGTAGCAGATGCTGGGCCAACTGCATGTAGATAGGAAGTTGCTGACAAAGGCTGGAGGAGGTCAGCAGAGACAAAGGCTGGGGGAAAAAAAGGGGTGAAAATATTTTAGGAGGAAAAAAAAAAAATCAATTGATCATGATACACATCACTGTGGCAGACTAAATGTCATCCAGTTAGGGTTTAGATGTTCTTAAGTTTCAGGGCTCATGCAAGGGGAAGGCTAAAGATGCCCATACACTGCACAAGAATCGTGGGAAATCTTGCGATCGTACGAGAATCGTGCAGTGTATGGAAGGCGTGCAACCGTTTCCACTGTACGGTCGCACGTCTTCCGTCGAACCAGCAGGCTAGAAAACCCGCCGGGAATCGTACGATTCTCGGCGAGTTAGTGGCCTGCTGGTTCGATAACTGCCGCACGGGCCGTGCATGCGCACACAGCCCGTTTGCAGTCATTGTAAGCCCGCCCCTCATTGCAGTCATTGTAGGCCCGCCCCTCAGGGGGGCGGGCTTGCGATGATCCCAAGTACGATCTGCCTGTCCAAGATAGGCAGATCGTACGTTTTTTAAAGTACTTTACAACCCTCGCAAGACAAAATACCTTTAGCATTGGCGGAAACCAAAAGGTCAAGGCAAGGTTAGTGAGGGCCATGGGAAATGGAGAGCTTTCTCTACTCTCCATTAGTTTTCAAAGCTGAGAAATACCAAATTATTTGTACCCATTTGTTTAATTTCTTTGGCTTTCCATGAGGTTGTGAATTTGTGTTTTTAGGATGCGTTTTCTCAGACCTGGAAATTGACGTAAATAGCCTCCTGAAATCCCACATAATGTAAGTCTACAATTAACTGCGCATCAGTCAGGCTGAAAGTGAAAATACAAACAAAAGCAATGCTGCAGCAAACTGTGTGGCTAGTAAAAGAAAGCTAATGTCTAAATGCTATACACAGAAGCCGCACTCAATGGGAAAATAACATGCTGTAATAGTGTACACATATCAACAAATCCTGCTGAAATAATTGCTTTGACAATTGGAGCGGAACCAAAAGAAATGCAGAAATTGTAAAGAACAGTGGTGTGCCTGTTTGATTCTTTTGCTTTTGGATGAATTATGCCATTGTGCCCTTTTTTTTTATTATTTCTCAACCTTTCTTAAAGGGCCTATGTCTTTTATCAAAGAAACACAATATACCTGCTTGTTCCAATAGGCATTGCTTTGTACTGGTAAGGTTGTTTTTAGAATCTGGAGTTGTGGTTTACCCTCACCAGAGCTTGTATATTCTATTTATATTGAAGGATTTCATCCCACAATTCCAAAACTTTTAGGGTTTTCAGCTTCTGTCCCAAGAGGCAGGGGTGTATCTACTACAAGGCAAACTTGGCATTTACCTAGGGCGGCACTTTCCAGGGGTGCCAAAAAATGGGGTGAGATCCAGATGGTCATCATGCTCATCAGCACCTCCGTGGTGTTGAGTCTGAGGAAGTGCAGCCTATAAACTCCGTTTAGAGTTATATCTCTAGAGCTACAGAGCCCAGCGGCCAAGGCAGAAGATGGGTAACTGCAGAATTAGAGGACCCAGCATATTAAGGCAGAAGATCGGCGTTGCAGCTGCAGAACTAGGGAGCCCATCAAGCCAGGAACAGAGAAGGTGGCTATTGCAAAGGTAGGACCAGAGCATCCCGCTACGTTGATAGTGCAACCTGTCAGAATCTAGATACACCGTGCACGCTGTCCCACCTTCCCACAACTGACAGGTTGTGCAAAATGTCTTAAACAGGAAGGGGTGGGACTAGTTTAGATTAGGGAGGGGGGGTGCTCGGGTTTAGTCTTGCCTAGGGCAGCACAAAACCAAGACACACCACTGCCAAGAGGTAGGTAGTCTAACTACAGCCAAAAGGGGAAGGTAGTAAGGAAGGGCTAGAACTTCAGTTTTTTTACTTCTATGTCCCCATTAGAGAGGCCTCCTTTTCTTTCTGTCCTTGTGACAAAAGGCAATATAGGGAGGGAAACCAAGATAGTAACAAAAACACATTTTTTTTCTAGCCTGAGGAAGGGTTAGAAACTCTGAGATTGTTATTGCTGTTTGTGTTTTGTTGGCCTGGTGGCCCTTCTCATCCTTGCGTCGCAGGGATAAAAAGTAAGAGTAAACTTTCTCAATGACACAGACCGCAATGAAAAAACATTTGTTCAAATCCTTTATTAAAGTATAAAAGCATGTTTACCTGGAATTGAACTTCAATATTCAGATAAAGAGCCATAAATACACCATCTAATGCCAGTAATTGCCAGGTCTGGAAAAAAATTGGGATATCAGTTGGGTACTACAAACCTGACATCCTGGGTGAAGTATTGTAAGAAAAAGCTACTGACCCTACTAAACAATTATGGGCATATACTGTTTATAAAGCTGTGAATCTGACATACAACAAACATTCTCTGCAGTGAAATCTTCCAGGTTCAGGTGCTACAAATACAGTAATTGATTCTACACCAGAGAATGTTTGGTGAAAGTGCATTAACGTATTTATAAGTAGAGTGTTTAGATCAACTTCATACTGGAAGTGTCAGCTTTTCACAAACCATGCACACTCAGAGGTTATAGCATACTCGCCAACTCTCCCAGCTGTGTACGTCCTGGGAGTACAGCATGAGACTCCCTGAGGGTTACTGTGCATGCCTGAGCAGGCTCGCATTACTGCCCAAATTTCAGTGGTGTCACTAGTGCCAGATAACTGATGCCACACCATAACCCCATCACCACTATCTGACAAGCACACAGAGGAGAAGCTGGTCCTGGGGCACTCCTTGGATGTGAGAAGGGCCTGGGGGGGGCCTCAGCAGCTATTTTTGCACCACCAATCACTTGTATGTGTGCCACCACCTTCCAACACCTTTACCCAAGCCTGACACCTTGCCAGACTCACTACTAGTAATAGGTGAAGTAAATACATAGGTCAGATGTGTGTAGGGGATCTGGAGGTATTAGAGAGGCTGCAGAGGTAGGGGATACAGTAATGACTGCAGGAGAACATAGGGGTGGCAGAGGTGTGCTGGGGGGACAGAGGTGTGAAGAGGTAATGCAGTGGTGGTGGAGGTGTGTGGAGGAGTGCAATGGTTGCAGAGTTGTGTAAGGAGATACAGTTGTGGCAGAGGGGTGCTTGGGGACATTGATGGCCGAAGTGTGTGTGTGTGTGTGGGGTGGGGGGGAGTGTTATACATTTTCGTCAGCTTTTGAATTGCTGTAATCTCTGTGTTGTGTGTGGGGGGTGGGGGGGGGGTATGAAGGGTTAACGCAGTGGAGTCAGAAGTGTTTAATGGGGCAGAGTGGTGCAGAGGTGCTTGGGTGGGGACATAGTGGTAGCAGAAGTGTCTTTGTGAGAACAGTGGAGGAGGATAGTAGTAGCAGAAGTATGCGGGGAGTGCAGTGGTGGAAGAGGTGTGGAGGGGAAACAGTGGTGAAAGAGATGTTTGGGGGTGTGGATAGTGCAGAGGTGAGCAGTGATGTAAGAGGGGTGGAGTGGGTACTTGTGTTAAGTACGCCTGACGTCTGCACATTGTAAGTGCAGCAGTCAGGAATGTACAACATGCAGGACAGCATACAGAGCACAGTGGTTAGAAATTTGTAATATGCCATGTACATTACATTTGCATGACCACCATACTCTGTACTACATGCTGTACAGTACAATCCCCTTGCTGTTGTATTTTACATACTGTACACTATATTCTCTGACCACAGCACGTTGTACACTGGCCTATACATAAGATTTTCCTGACCGCTGCACTCTGTACGTTATATACTCCAAAAGTCTCAACTCTATATGCTGTATTGTAATTACATATTCCTGACCAAATTGTTTATCATTACAACAATTACCAGTTGTCCCTGACTATTTTTGAATGAAATTGTTCTTCAAGGAAGACTCAATGGGGTTGATTTACTAACCTTATAAAACACACCACGAACATGTATACACCTCTGTAGTGTGTTCCCTCCCAGCATGATCTATGGGTGGAATCTAAACACCTTTGTAGTGTGTACACACCCAGCAGGTGTGTTATGCAAAGCCAAGCATGAATATGTTTTATAGCATAACGTAGGGAGAACAGGTTTTTTTTTCAAAATATTCGGTACTTTTTTCATTATACAGTAAAGAAAAAAACCCGTAATGGTGATTAAATACCACCAAAAGAAAGCCCTATCTGTCCCCAAAAAATGGTATCAAATTTATTTCAGTACAGCGTTGCATGACGGAATAAATGTCAGTCAAAGTACCGCAGCACTGAATACTGAAAAATGGCCTGGACAAGAAGGGGGTATAAACACCCCGGTCAGCAAGTGGTTAAGGAATGTTGCCTACAATCCCATGTCATGATGCATGACTCTGACACAGCTTTTTCAGTGAAAATTTAAAACCCTCTTTGGCTTTAGCTTATAGCTTAATAAAAGACAAAAGGAAAGGCAAAACATATAAACTAATATAGCATTTTTTAAACGTATTTTATTCACAAAGAAATGTATTTGCTTTTAGAAAGAGGATACACCAAAAAAATGCTGCTCCCTTTTTAGGCACTTATATATTATACTACTATATGTATGATTTTATTTATGCAGCGTTAAGGCATTATTTTTCTCAAAGCTTAAGACACATGTGAGTAATGCCATGCAATATATAAAACTATTGATACAATTTGAGTTGAACATTGCATAGAAGTGCAAAATGTTTGTGGCAGAGTAGCAGCTAATATCACTACCAGTTGTGCGTTTTGAACCAATGATTTTAATATGACATAAATTAAACTGAATATCAAATCTCCTTCAAAAGAAAGCAAAACACAATTTCTTTATTATTACCTATCCTCGTATAGCCTTTCATTTCGTGCTTTCATAACAAGTCACTAACAAGGGACGTTGTTCTTTGTTACCTCTAAAGAAACAACAAAACATAACTTTGTGGAAATAAAGTAAAGTAAAGGCCTCTATTCCATGCCAAACATTTACTGTGGTCTGGCACCCTAGTGAGGAGACCGAATTACAGAGCCGGATTTACTCTCTGCTGCCCGAAGGCCAGGTTGCTCAATGCACTCCCAATGCTCCCCCATGGAGAATGGACCTTCCGGCTACATACAAGGGATCTCGTCAACTTCGCCGGGATCACTTGTACAAAACAAGCGGCGGCTTCCTTGCTGTAAATTTAGCTCTGCTTGCCCAAAGCAGGGCTAAATGTAGAAAACAACTACCCGCCCGGTGCACGGAACTGCATGTCCTGGGCATCTGGAGATAGGAATTCCACTCTCCTGCTGCCCATCCACTCCCTGCTGCCCCGAGGCCGGGCCTTGGTTGGCCTGGTGGGAAATCCAGCCCTGCTCATAAACACATAGTTGGCCAAGCTTGGCTTTCCAGTTAAGTTACATTTTAGCCAGCCTGAATTCTCCGTGTATTGCTGTGGAGATTAAACTACAGAGGTGCAGGGCAGAGAAATACTGTATTGTGTTACTTTCAGTGTGTCCCTCATCAGATGATATGGAGAAATCAAGCTGGTGATTGTAGTAGCTCAGTTAAAGCTTGGTCTGTCATAACCATATCAGAGGATCAAGGGAGATCTTTCACTGGGTTTCTGAACAATGTTGGAGATTTGAACCGTTCCCCACTCCATCTATAATGGAAAATTATATTTTAAAGCTTCTTTTTGATACACATATACAACTTATAAAGTCCAGCCAAATTTATTTTTTATTTTTGGATAGGGTGGGGGAAGGATTATAACCTAGGGTTTACATCTATCCAGGACTCCATTGCAGGGACACAGACAGCAATAAAAGCTGATGCGGGGTTCTAGCCATCCCCCATTCTACTAAGAAAAAAAACAAAACCATTTTAGGGCCAATTCACACCAGCCACTGCGTTAAATGCACAACAGCTGGTGTGTGATCCCAGTACATCACACTGTGTACTTTTTTTTTTGTTGGTAGAACCTTATTGAAATGTCCCAAGTGACCTATCATTCAGTTCTATGGGCAGATCACCACGTTCCCATCGCAACATGGTGGTGTGAACCGAGGCTGTCCATGACAATGCAAATTGCATGGCAATCGCACGTGGTGTGAATCAACCCTGGAACCTCTCTGCGTTGCTGCTGGAGATGTACCCTGATTTCCTGTCTGGTGAAGCCTTTGTGACCATGTCAGTAAGTAAGGGGAAATGTCTCTGACAGGGCCCTAGTTAGTAGTAGAAACCCAAAAAGCTGCAAAAGGGTTCTAATCTTTTCCCACTCCATCCAAAACCAAAAAGGTTCAGACAATTCAAAGAGCAAACCCATATAGAAGTAACATTTACGTGATTAATTGAATAAAGGAGCAAATTGATCTTAACAAAAAAATTGAGACTCAATCCATTGCATTGAACTCCTTCATTGGATAACTTTTCATGGCACTTTTTTCATACCGCCCAACACATTTTCAAAATAGTAAGCCTAACTGACATTAAATGCAATCAATCTAATACTGCAAGCCTTTCTTAAAGACCATTTAAAATATAAAGTCTTGCCAATATGAGAACAGTCTGGAATGTAACATGCACCTATGTGTTAACAAATTTATAAAATATAAGAAAACAGCATTTCACATAGCAAAAACGTTTGGCTTTCGCAGAGTGAGTCCATTTGACTTTTTTTTTCCTTTAGAAGCTCCTCCTGTAGAATGTTTTCTTTAGTTGTTTTTATTCATTGATGGAGGACTTTATTCCCATGGTCCATAGTAAAGGACTATCAGTTTCCACTGTAACAATGCCACTGCCATCATAGGTATTTGAGGTGCTGACCAAAGTTCCAAATGCCAGCACTCCGGCAGCTGAAAAGAAAGAGGTATAAAATGGTCACTCCATGGGATTCTGAACAGAACAGAAATATTTTTTGCATAGCATTTTTTAAAGTAAACCATAAAATTCTTCTAGCTATCACATCTAACAATACACTAGGGAAGTCAGAAATGGAAAAAGATTTGGGGGTCATAGTAGACCAGAGATTGAATAATAGCTTGCAATGCCAGGCTGCGGTAAACAAAGCTAGCAGAGTGCTGTCATGCATTAAAATGGGAATGTACTGTAGAGACAAAGCAATCATTTTGCCACTTTATAGATCGCTGGTTCGGCCTCATCTTGAGTATGCGGTTCAGTTTTGGTCACCTATCCACAGAAAGGATGTCAGGATGTCCTGGACCTGGAGAGAGTTCAGAGAAGGGCAACTAAACTAATTAAGGGGCTGGATGACCTAAGCTATGAGACAAGCTTGCTAAATTTAGATCTGTTCACGCTAGAAGTGAGGAGATTAAGAGGGGACATGATTTGAATGCACAACATGTTAATCACACAAAATTATAATACACTCAGCCCCTTCCCCCGAGCCCCCTCACCTGTTCACATCTTTGCAGGGAGGAGGCTGGGAGCAGGATCGATCCCTGGTTTATCTGTGAGTGATTAGTGAGGTCTGCAGCAGCCCTCACTATCACACCCAGATAGCCAGGCATCACTGCTGCTCACAGACATTCTTTCCTTCGCCGGAGCTCAGAACTGTCAGAGCTCCGGCCGAAGGAAGCCAGAATTGACAGGAGCTGCTCTGTGGTCTGCATCTGACAGATGCAGATCGTGGAGCTTCTCCCGCAAGTCAGGTACGCGGTCTGCGACCGTGTGCCTGACATGTCAGCTGGCTGTGGGCCACATAGTACCGGCTCGCGGGCCGGGGGTGGGCCCCGAGCCCGTGC